CTAGCGGTGATCTCACAGTCACCACTCACACAGCAGCTTGGCTAGTGGTGATCTCACAGTCACCACTTACACAGCAGCTTGGGGTTAGCGGTGATCTCACAGTCACCACTCACACAGTAGCTTGACTAGCGGTGATCTCACAGTCACCACGCACACAGCAGCTTGGCTAGCGGTGATCTCACAGTCACCACGCACACAGCAGCTTGGGGCTAGCGGTGATCTCACAGTCACCACTCACACAGCAGCTTGACTAGCGGTGATCTCACAGTCACCACTCACACAGCAGCTTGGGGCTAGCGGTGATCTCACAGTTACCACTCACACAGCAGCTTGGGGCTATCGGTGATCTCACAGTCACCACGCACACAGCAGCTTGGGGCTAGCGGTGATCTCACAGTCACCACTCACACAGCAGCTTGGGGCTAGCGGTGATCTCACAGTCACCACTCACACAGCAGCTTGACTAGCGGTGATCTCACAGTCACCACTCACACAGCAGCTTGGCGCTTGCGGTGATCTCACAGTCACCACTCACACAGCAGCTTGGGGCTAGCGGTGATCTCACAGTCACCACTCACACAGCAGCTTGGCGCTAACGGTGATCTCACAGTCACCACTCACACAGCAGCTTGGGGCTAGCGGTGATCTCACAGTCACCATGCACACAGCAGCTTGGCGCTAACGGTGATCTCACAGTCACCACGCACACAGCAGCTTGGGGCTAGCGGTGATCTCACAGTCACCACTCACACAGCAGCTTGGGGCTAGCGGTGATTTCACAGTCACCACTCACACAGCAGCTTGACTAGCGGTGATCTCACAGTCACCACGCACACAGCAGCTTGCCTAGCGGTGATCTCACAGTCACCACTCACACAGCAGCTTGACTAGCGGTGATCTCACAGTCACCACTCACACAGCAGCTTGGCTAGCAGTGATCTCACAGTCACCACTCACACAGCAGCTTGACTAGCGGTGATCTTACAGTCACCACTCACACAACAGCTTGACTAGCGGTGATCTCACAGTCACCACTCACACAGCAGCTTGACTAGCGGTGATCTCACAGTCACCACTCACACAACAGCTTGACTAGCAGTGATCTTACAGTCACCACTCACACAACAGCTTGACTAGCGGTGATCTCACAGTCACCACTCACACAGCAGCTTGACTAGCGGTGATCTCACAGTCACCACTCACACAACAGCTTGGCTAGCGGTGATCTCACAGTCACCACTCACACAGCAGCTTGGCGCTAGCGGTGATCTCACAGTCACCACTCACACAGCAGCTTGACTAGCGGTGATCTCACAGTCACCACGCACACAGCAGCTTGACTAGCGGTGATCTCACAGTCACCACTCACACAGCAGCTTGGCTAGCGGTGATCTCACAGTCACCACGCACACAGCAGCTTGGCTAGCGGTGATCTCACAGTCACCACTCACACAGCAGCTTGGCTAGTGGTGATCTCACAGTCACCACTTACACAGCAGCTTGGGGTTAGCGGTGATCTCACAGTCACCACTCACACAGCAGCTTGACTAGCGGTGATCTCAAAGTCACCACGCACACAGCAGCTTGGCTAGCGGTGATCTCACAGTCACCACGCACACAGCAGCTTGGGGCTAGCGGTGATCTCACAGTCACCACTCACACAGCAGCTTGACTAGCGGTGATCTCACAGTCACCACTCACACAGCAGCTTGGGGCTAGCGGTGATCTCACAGTTACCACTCACACAGCAGCTTGGGGCTATCGGTGATCTCACAGTCACCACGCACACAGCAGCTTGGGGCTAGCGGTGATCTCACAGTCACCACTCACACAGCAGCTTGGGGCTAGCGGTGATCTCACAGTCACCACTCACACAGCAGCTTGACTAGCGGTGATCTCACAGTCACCACTCACACAGCAGCTTGGCGCTTGCGGTGATCTCACAGTCACCACTCACACAGCAGCTTGGGGCTAGCGGTGATCTCACAGTCACCACTCACACAGCAGCTTGGCGCTAACGGTGATCTCACAGTCACCACTCACACAGCAGCTTGGGGCTAGCGGTGATCTCACAGTCACCATGCACACAGCAGCTTGGCGCTAACGGTGATCTCACAGTCACCACGCACACAGCAGCTTGGGGCTAGCGGTGATCTCACAGTCACCACTCACACAGCAGCTTGGGGCTAGCGGTGATCTCACAGTCACCACTCACACAGCAGCTTGACTAGCGGTGATCTCACAGTCACCACTCACACAGCAGCTTGGGGCTAGCGGCGATCTCACAGTCACCACGCACACAGCAGCTTGGGGCTAGCGGTGATCTCACAGTCACCACTCACACAGCAGCTTGACTAGCGGTGATCTCACAGTCACCACTCACACAACAGCTTGGGGCTAGCGGTGATCTCACAGTCACCACGCACACAGCAGCTTGACTAGCGGTGATCTCACAGTCACCACTCACACAGCAGCTTGGGGCTAGCGGTGATCTCACAGTCACCACGCACACAGCAGCTTGGGGCTAGCGGTGATCTCACAGTTACCACTCACACAGCAGCTCGGCAAGGCGCAGCGGCTGGCGTGCTGCACTATGATCTCCGCCCACCCGAGTAGAAATTCCGGCCGCCGCAGCATCAGCGATGAGTGATATCCGAACCAACCTCGCAGCTTTCGTGACCAATATTATCCATAATAAAGGTGTTTTTGGTGAGATCACGTGAATATAAATGTGTCGAAACGTCGTACTGAAATTGTAAATGTTGTGGGTTCACTCTCCAACACACCGGTGTGCTGAACTAGTAACTAATTAGCACGTTTTGCTCACCTGATAAACATTACAAATAGGCTGTGTTGGGTGGTTGTGGGTTTAATGTCACATTTATATTCACGCGATCTTACCCAGCTGTATTATTATCATGAATTGCAGTGGTTTACAGAGTGATTAACACGGTGGATAGAGCACTGCACAATCTGCCCAATAAACTATATTTAATTCTCACTGTATTTAATTCCATTGGGTTGGTAATTGGTTATTCTGTATAATTTAGCCTGGGTTTCTCACAGCTCGACGCAGCCTAAACGAGCTCCCAATGCAATAAGTTAGCAGAAGTACCGAGGGAGACAAAGGCAGCGGGTAAGATGCAGACACAGTGCTGGCAATACTGCTGTGTCAACCTTAATAAGAGACTCAATAACATAACTAGCCCTGACAGCTCATAACGCTAAACGTGGAAAGGTAGTCTTTCATCTCGATCCCAGTCTGTGCTTGGGCAGACATATACACTAAATATGCATAAGTATCAGGCTATATAAATCCTTCAATGGTCCCATGTGTAAATGTGTTCCTATATAAATAACTCTGTGTTTATACACAACTTTGAACATTCATTGCGTGTGTGTGTGCGTATATACCACGCAGGCTTCTGCGTGGGGGCCAGTGCCATCCATGCATGCGCCCTGCGTGCGGCGAGCAGCGCGCACAGCTCTCCGACGTATTTGCGCGCTGCCGCGTGCCGCTCAGCATGGAGAAGCTCCCCAGCGTGTGGAGCGAAACTTCGGACGTCGCGCCGAACAAACAAACACGCGGTACGAGTGGAAAGCACGGCAGGGGGAGCCACGTCGCACACCCGCGGAAACGTGGTACGCTGGGTCTGTCTCCAGACGCCGTGCACTACGCCACAGCCTCTGACGATTCCTCGTGCCAGCGGCTGGTCGTGTGGTGGAGAGGGATGTTCGTGTGGTGGAGAGGGATGGTGGGTGGTGGAGAGGGATGGTGGGTGGTGGAGAGGGATGGTGGGTGGTAGAGAGGGATGGTCGGGTGGTGGAGAGGGATGGTCGAGTGCTGGAGAGGGATGGTCGGGTGGTGGAGAGGGATGGTCGAGTGCTGGAGAGGGATGGTCGGGTGGTGGAGAGGGATGGTCGAGTGCTGGAGAGGGATGGTCGTGTGGTGGAGAGGGATGGTCGTGTGGTGGAGAGGGATGGTGGGTGGTGGAGAGGGATGGTGGGTGGTGGAGAGGGATGGTGGGTGGTGGAGAGGGATGGTCGGGTGGTGGAGAGGGATGGTCGAGTGCTGGAGAGGGATGGTGGGTGGTGGAGAGGGATGGTGGGTGGTGGAGAGGGATGGTCGAGTGGTGGAGAGGGATGGTCGGGTGGTGGAGAGGGATGGTCGAGTGCTGGAGAGGGATGGTCGGGTGGTGGAGAGGGATGGTGGGTGGTGGAGAGGGATGGTCGAGTGCTGGAGAGGGATGGTCGAGTGCTGGAGAGGGATGGTCGGGTGGTGGAGAGGGATGGTGGGTGGTGGAGAGGGATGGTCGAGTGCTGGAGAGGGATGGTGGGTGGTGGAGAGGGATGGTCGGGTGGTGGAGAGGGATGGTGGGTGGTGGAGAGGGATGGTCGAGTGGTGGAGAGGGATGGTCGAGTGGTGGAGAGGGATGGTCGAGTGCTGGAGAGGGATGGTCGAGTGCTGGAGAGGGATGGTCGGGTGGTGGAGAGGGATGGTGGGTGGTGGAGAGGGATGGTCGAGTGCTGGAGAGGGATGGTCGAGTGCTGGAGAGGGATGGTCGGGTGGTGGAGAGGGATGGTCGAGTGCTGGAGAGGGATGATGGGTGGTGGAGAGGGATGGTCGGGTGGTGGAGAGGGATGGTCGGTTGGTGGAGAGGGATGGTCGGGTGGTGGAGAGGGATGGTCGGGTGGTGGAGAGGGATGATGGGTGGTGGAGAGGGATGGTCGGGTGGTGGAGAGGGATGGTCGGTTGGTGGAGAGGGATGGTCGAGTGCTGGAGAGGGATGGTCGGGTGGTGGAGAGGGATGGTCGGGTGGTGGAGAGGGATGGTCGGGTGCTGGAGAGGGATGGTCGGGTGGTGGAGAGGGATGGTCGGGTGGTGGAGAGGGATGGTCGGGTGCTGGAGAGGGATGGTCGGGTGCTGGAGAGGGATGGTCGGGTGGTGGAGAGGGATGGTCGGGTGCTGGAGAGGGATGGCGAGCCTGCGTGTCTGGTACCAGCAGGAGGAGAGGATCTTGCAGAAGGCCAGCTCGCAGCACATGCGCAGGTTGTTGCGGTGGTCAGCCAGCTCTGCGGATGAGCACTTGCTCAGCTCCACCTCGCAGTTCTCGTCAGAGTCGTAAAGCGCTCGCACGAACTCGCCTTCAACGACAAAAGCACGGGCACGCACGCAGCACGGCGCGCAACTTTAGCCCGGAGGTGACGTCGCGTCTTTGAAGGGGAACTGCTGCTCTCGCAGATTTTTTTATTTTTTTTGACCTTCAAAAACAGAGCCAACTTACGTAGCGCACATTGCTTATCTCCGGGAGGGGAGAGGGGGAAAAGTGCTGGGAGTCGTGTTGAGAGAAGAGGTTAATATTAGCTTGGCTTGAAATTTTCACTCTTTTCGCAGCGTCAGCTACATTTGCACAAAACATCAGAAGCATTGTGGTGTGCTTTGAAACTAGTGACCTCATACATACGTACATATATATGTACTTGATTATCGCTCGGGGACTTGGGCTTGTTCAATTCAAATGATATAATGCTGACTGCACCAATTATGTATTCTCGATTATCCTTCCAGACAGATGATAGCAAGGCCGTGAGCAATGAAGTTGATAAGCACAAGTCAGTTTCAACGTCTACGAACTCAGCAGAAGCTAAAAATAAGTACAATTAAAAATGAGAAATAGCTAAAAACACTTTCCGTCTCGGAATAAGCTTGGGACATTTTTCCATTTGCTGTGCAAGCAACAGCAAACGCTGAATGTAAGATATGCCTGCTCTATTATAAATGGCACCATATTGCCTAAACAGACGAGTGTCTTTTAACCTCCTAAATTCAAATGTGTGTCCTGGTGACTTGATGCAAATTGCTCCCTGCTGCCAAGAGGGATGCAATCTTCCTTGCCACTAACGAAGATGGTTTTTGACAGGACGGTCGAATCCTGTCTTGTACGCGGACAAGTGAACCGATAACTCTCAGAAGCAACAGAAACATAATTTGAACACTCATTTCTTTCGAATATCTTTTTGTGCTTTGTTTGGTATCTTCCCCTGCACCTCTGATTAGCACAGTCGGCTAGGTATGGTGCGAAAGAAGTTTCATCATACATAGATACATTTTCACCCCTATTACATGTAGACGAACGAGAAAAACGCTTTCTCGCCTGAGCTACGCACATTTTGCATTATCCGCGTTCTTGTTCATCCCAGCGAGCCCACGATTACCCCGGACAACTGAGAGTTGAATGTTTACGGCAACTACGGTGAGTCTCGCGTAACGACTCCCCCGGTAGGCTGGGAGCGGAAGAGCAGGCACATACGGTGGGCGGTGACGACTGAGGGCTCGAACATACCGAGGGCGTCGTGCAGGTACCACTGGCCCACCATCTTGAGGTACTCCTCGATGGCCTTGGTGGCGAGTGTGTTCTCCCGGAAAAGCAGGTGCTCGTTCTCGCTGCATCGCGTCACCTCCGCGATCACCAGCTCCGCCAGAAACTCCTGCGTACACCGCACAGCACAAGCGCACAAGCGTTACGCCTTGGGGGGGTGTGGGGCGGGAGGGTGGGGGGCGCGTGGCGGCGCGTGAATTCAGCTCCAGGGCAATATCACCGTTGGGAGCCCGACGGATTTACGCCTGCACCTCGGGACAATGTTAACTACCGCGCGTGGTATACAGGATCCATATTCTTTGGTTCTTTCCGTAAAGTCACGTAGGTGAAAAAAAAAATCACGACGTTTCGATTGCAACACAAGCAATCAGGTGTGACAACCACAATGTAAAAATGTTATTGCTGTGGTTGTCACACCTGATGATGATTGCTTGTGTTGCAATCGAAATGCCGTGATTTTTTATTATTTTTTACTTTTTACTTTTTCACCTACGTGACTTTACCGAAAGAACCAAAGAATATGGATCCTTGCAGTCACGAAAAATTCGAATCTAGAATGGTATACAGGAGGTCGTGGGTTCGATCCCGACCCTGATGCCTGCTGCATATTTGGGGTTGGCGTGTCTCTCTCCCTGTGGTCGCGTAGATCTTTCTCCGGCTCCTCCGGTTTTTCCCTCCACATCTTGAATCAACGTGAGTTTAGAGTGTTTGGCTGCTGTAAATTTCCATGTGATAAGCCACTTCGTTCCGCTATCATTTGTGGCCATGTCGCTTATGAAATAGTATAGGTAATACAGTCGAAGCTGCATATAAGCACACCCAATATAAACACAGTTCCGGTGGAAGCAACACATCCTTACATTACATTGGTGGGGTGTAGGCGAAATAAACTTACAATACAAGCATGCTCCCGATATAAGCACACTTGGCATTGTTCCCAAGGTGTGCTTACATCAGGATTCTACTGTAAGGATGTGGTGGAGTGGTATCGCACTGATTAGCACTTGATGCTCATTACCCAGAAAAGCAACACTCGTTTACTGGCAGGTCCTGATAGGTTTTCGCAGCTGCCGGCGATGTTGCTGCTGCTGCTATGTCTAATCTCAACCAAGTTAATTTCAGATAATCTGTTTAAAACTATTAAACCAAAGTTTTTTTTACTTTACAAAATAAGGGCCCTACGAAGCTATATAGCTCTTTTTCAGAAGCGACTTAGCCCAAATACTCTAAAGGCATGTTTCTAAATGTGAAGGGAAAAACAGGAGGAAAAACCCTCAACCACAGGGAGAACATGCCACCTACAAATATACAGGCCTCAGGGTCGTGGTTGAATCCATGCACTCCTACATATAAGGTGAGGTAAGTTAACATCTCGCCACCGTGACACCCCATGGGATGTTTGGCCAGTTATTTTGTTTGGGTAAAAATGTGTTTGAGCTATGGGAGGAAACCAGAGAACGTGGAGGAATCCCACGCAAAACAGAGCGGGAACATACAAACTCAGCGCAAAAGTTAGGAATCAAACCCAGGCCCATCTTGATGTGAGGCTCAAGTGTTACAACTTGTCTAACCCTGTGCTGCCATCAATCTCAGCACGTTGCACCCAACACGAATTCTGGATCGCAGGCATTGGTGCCACAACACTCTACAATTAGAACGATCAACGGTGCTCACTGACAACCCTGATGATGAAGATGATATTATTTAACATTCAGGGCAGCATGGCATCTGACGTTAGTGGTGGAACAGGGGAAAGGGGAGCAACTTTTTTTTTATTGAAACCCAAGTACATTACGCATGCATCGGTTCTCCGAACACAACATGCTCGGTTGTGCTTGGTGCACCCCGTGTGAGAAATAACAATCATGCACGTGTACACACGGCGTGGATACACACACACACGACGTGGTAGTGCTGCAAGAAAATGTAATCTGGTAGGTCAGCGAAAATATAACCCAATGAGTCTCATTGTGAGATAGGGTATTGAATTTCAATAGCATTAGGAATGTGTGAATTTTGCCCAAGACATCAGAATGCTTCACAGCAAAAGAAAAACGATAAAAATTCCAATGAACAAAAATCACCCTGAATGCACCCGATCTCATAAAATCTTGGAATCTACGCAGGGTCAAGCCTAATTTGTAACCGAATGAGACACTGCTCGCGAATGACAGGTTATGTAGGGTTCGGACTGCAAGGTGGCCAGGAGGTAACACTATAGAAAGAGATTCTTGAAATCTATCTGTGAGATTAGAATGTTACACGCTCGCTTGTGTGGGTTCTCTCCGGGTACTCCGGTTTCCCGCCACATGCCAAGCACTCCGCTGCATCGTCAAAATCACAAGAGATGGCGGTGGCTGGGGAAGGTCTTCGTCTAGCAGTGGATTGATGAAAAGTCAGAATAGGTGTCACCCTTTCTGGCAATAAAGCAGGAGGTGTTAAGATGTTCAAACACCACGTAGACAGATACCTATTACAATGGATCAAGTTGGCATTAATGGCATCAAGTCTGCCATTAATGCATTAATGCAGCCTTGATGCCTTGAAAAAGATACAATATATGTGGTGTTTGAATATCTTCACACCTCCTTTTTGATTGCCAGGAAGGGAAAAGCCCATTCTTATTTTTCATCATTTTGGATACTGGCAAAAAAAGGTACCGTAGATATAGCAGTGGATAGATCGTGGCTGTTGACGATGCCACGCGTTCACTATTGTAACTGGCCAAGCATCCCGAGCGAACCCTCCTTGAAAGAGTCTTGAGACTCACGTAAGCTTTCCTGAATAACTTATTTAATTAGTAATATTACAACAAATAAGATAAGTACCCACGATATAGGCACATAAAACTACATATGCCTTCATTATCAGGTCTCGAGAGAAACGCCAAAAGGCCCAATTAACGTCGTGAATCTAAACAATGTCTAGTTCTCCGAATGCACTAATGCAGAGCTGTGCATTTTGTACGGTTAATCGAGGATGTTTGGGGCCCGTTGCAAAGGATACAGAGTTGAATTTATTTTGTGCTTAAATACAATTGCTTCTCAAGACGCTTTTACAAAGGCCGCAGAAATAATCACAGCTTCAGTGGGGCAACGGTGCGAGGAGAGCGCGGACGTAACGATGCAATGGAAGAGGGCCCGGGAGACAGGGACCGAAAAAAGAGGGGGGTAAAACCCCCTCGGGGGACAAAGCCGGAGCAGAATAGTGGAGGGAAAGTACCAACGCACATCGGCCGCCTGCATATTATTTGATTTCAAGGTTATTCGGTTATACCGCCCCCCCCCACCCTTTGTTTAAATGTCTATCCTCTCCCCGACGTGATGTCCACACCGGTTGTGCGAGTCTTGCACCGTGCTCTAACGTGCCCGCGTTTTATTACGATAAAAGCAACTAAAAAATGTAAACCCAATGCAATAGAAATGGGGGTGGGGTGTGGGGGGGGGGAGAATGGAAACACGACAAAGTGCGGGCGAGCTGCAGCGGCCAAACACACCGCCGAGTAGCCATGAAAGTCGTGGTGCATAAGGGAAACTCATTATTTGGTGAAAATTGCATTCTCAATGATGGAGCACACACAACAAATGCTCATTGTGCTTCGCAAAATAATGCCGTGGGCTTAAAAGGAAAAGAAAATAACACTATAGGTAATGGGTGATGTGTCGGGCGATGGCCCTTCCTCACAGCGAGAGAGCGATTGTACATTAGCAGGCATTGTTAGTGACGAATGTGTTGTGTTTTTGGTACACGGTAGGATCTGATCGTCACTCCCAGTCCACCATCCACAAGGCACGTGGTCCCACCTCGGGAAAATGGCATCTTCTGCATCCGCATACTCAATCTCTCACTGGATGAGAAACAATCCCTGCTTTGATTATGATTTTGAGAGCCAATGGCAACCGGATAACTCGGTGGTCATACTGAGAGGCGTGTGTGCATGAGAAGGAAGCACCGAAAATATTATTTTATTGAAGTGTGCACATGCTGAAGATGTAGACGCACGGCAGATTAAAGCTCCCTTTGGTGTCCGTCTACTCCCACGGTGGCTAGGAGATGTTAACTACATCGCCTGGTATGCAGGAGGTCGTGGGTTTGATCCCACCCCTGATGCCTGCTGTATATTTGGAGTTTGCGTGTCTCCCCGTGATTATGTGGATTCTTCTCCGGGTCCTCGGGTTTTAGAATCGACATGCATTGAGTATTTGGCTGCTGTAAATTTTCACGTAATAAGCCACTTCGTTGAGCTCTCATTTGTGGCCAGGTCGCTTGTGGAAAAGAGCTACATAGCTCAGTGGGCCTTTCCTGGCAAAGGCAGGTGATCGAGAAGTCCTCCCCACATATCAGGGGAAGATATTTGTGAATAATGGATTCTCATGAAATCAACTCCGCACACCGTGGGACCTCAGCGCCACAGACAAGTTCAAAGATGAGTGCATTCAGTGATGTCACCCGCTGCTCTCAATTATTCATGGCCACTGATAGCACAGCAACGCGTGTTCAGATTTCAATTGAATTTTGTATGCATGTCAGGAATGTCAATAATTGCAATTTTATTTTATGTAGCAGTCACTTCTTGCAGTGTGGCATTATATAGTGTTTCTATACCACGTAACTGAAATCCTACCACAAACACATTTTATAACTGTTCAAGGGCACTGAGGTTTGGGGGATGTAATTCAAGTTATGCAGCATCCCGCTAGTCCGAATTCTTTGAGAATAAATTACTTCAGGGACCGGCAACCATTTTCGTTGACTGACTGTCCATTTCAAAAAAAGTTTGCCAACACTACCTAAAAGTAAGAGCACAGAAGGGGCGCCCGTCTTGACAGCACACAAAGAGGCAAGAGGGGTTGAGAGCGAAGCACACACCAGTGATGTGTGTGTGTGTTATTGTCGGTCAAATGGGGATAGACAGTGCTTGCCAAGGGTAGCTCAAGTGTTGTGCATTTGTTGTGGTCACTTTTGATTTTGCAAACTATGATCGAGATGGCACATACAGGTTGGCTGAAAGTTTAAGTTTTATAATTCTACTAATAGTAAAATGTTCCACCCCTGACAGATTGAGAGGTATTTTTGATGAGTAATATTTTGGATTAATCAGCATGTAAT